TTGGTTTTTTTCCATTGACTTGTACTGGCAGATGGGGGAAGAGTAACTGTCCAGTGCTCAATTGCTCTTTAAGACTGAAATCAAACATACATGGCATTCTCAATCCATACTGATTAAACACACAGACTAAACCAGGTAATTATAGATACATGTGTTAGGGACTTTTTCTTTTTCTTTTTCTTTTTTTTTTTAATTCATAAAATTGTTCCCATCTTTAAAAACACTTTTTAAAAAAAGTGAAATTACCAACACACAGAAACAGATGTTTCTGGTAGTAAAATGTTGGGAATTCAGACTCCTTGTCTGGCATCACCTGGTTTTGATTCAGTATTCATTGTTTCAGGTTCATTTTGCTCAAACTCTGTCCAGTGCTGGAGAGGTAAAACCACGTTTGGAAATGGGTAGCTGTGCTATTCTTGAACACCTTTTCATTTTGTATCTCCACAACGAAAAATAACTAGAAGTAGTTTAGAACACTATGGGCACATGCGTGCACAGACATACTTATGGATACACTAAAATGACCTGGCAAGTTTGTGTTAGCATTTCAAAGAGATACAATGCCTCATCCTACTGGCCAGAAAGAGAGCAAATTGTGATATACCTGCATTCTCTTTCTTTTGCTAGACTAATATTTCTCAACATTCACATTGTACTTGTGAAGTTTCATTCTGTCAGCTTGATGTTTGCACTGTGATCAGTAAATATGGTATAATTCTGCTCCAACCATGCTTGCACAGAATTTCCACCTACTGCCACTCCTGATGACCTCCTAGCTATTCATTTCCAACTAAATTGCCAGCCTAGAGTTTGGCCCTTTATCCCTTCATCTGAATACAAATACACATGTGCAAAACCTCTCCATGCAGATTGTTCTGAAAAGACACTTCTCCCCACATGGAATAATAATGCTGAAATCAGCCAGCACCTGCCCAGGTGCAGGAACCTCTCCCTTGTGCAGATCTGACTTCAGCATTAAAGTGCGTGATTTAATTGTGCTGGAATTATTTTGAGGATGTCGAACTGATCAAATATCTAACTAGTTAATATAGGCCAGCTTCTATGGTATCTTTATTTTTCTTCTCTTCTCTATTGGGGAAGGACTGTCTGCACAGACAGAACTGTCTTCAATGTGACCAGAGCTATCATACGATATTTGAGTATCTTAGCACAAGATCTGTATTGATGTCAGAAAACAGTAATTTGATTTTAGCAGTGTTAGTTTAACATTCTTATTAAAATAGTCATCAATTAACTATCAGCCTGTACAGGATATGAAAAGTGATACATAAGTGCAAGATTTTAATGAAGTGACAAAGCTCTAAGCTGGCTCCTTACATGATTACTTAATGTGTCCTACATTGCCTGGTATGTGATTTTGTCCATTGGACATATTCCTAATTTAACAGGTCATTACAGCTTTAGTATAATTGTGGGAATAAAAGCACATAAAATACAAGAATTTCAAAATAAATTTTACAGCTCACATTTATGCAACAACTTATTACATTTAACAATTACTAAAGTACAAATTAGAGTAAACAAGCACACATGCCATGGGAAGCTTGCATAGCGATAATAGCTGGATTTGATGTGCAGAACTTCCTGTCCTACACAGCCATCACCACTGAGGCCATTCATTGCTCCTTCCCATGTGTGATTAGTGAAAAAAAGCAGCAAAGATCAGGCTCAGGTACTGCCTACCGCCTTTGGCAACAGATGCTTTCTGTTCACACGGCTGGCTGATAGCTCCAGAGCCCAAATTCTGCTGAAGAATAGTGAGGCTTAATATGCCAGCTAGTAGCCCGGGCTGTGCTTCACTTGCCCCTGCTCACGTATTTCCAGTTGAACAAATATCATGGGTAGAGCCTGAGCTCACTGTGAGATTGAGCACGCTCAAGATATTTTCCCTCCTGGGAAGCTCTAGCAAGTACCAACAAAATGGAGCACCCTGGCTGAACTGTGTAGATAGCATCTCAGATAACAGGGGCCCACAGTGTCATGTTGATGACAAGGTGGCAGTCATCATACCAGGGCATATGAGCAAGACTACAGACTGTTTTATACCTGATTTAAGACTCCATTTCCTAACACAGGCAAGATTCAGCCTAGAGTAATGTCCGGGTTGGGATGATGCACTTCAAATACAGCAGATCAAGTAAGACAAATAAGACTTGGAAAGAACCCAGAGAAAGGCAGCTGGAATAATCAGAAGTCAGACAAACATGAGCTATGAGATGAGACTGAATGAATCCAGATTGTTAAACTCAGGAGAGATGGTAGCCTGAGAGGGGATTGTAGCACCCAGACATCTTGGAGGCTACTGAAGTGAAAAGGCAATGACCATGTCTACACAGATGCATAGAAGAAGCAAGGAGATCAAATATCTGCAAGAAAAACTGGAAAGAGACATTATGAGGAATCTTTCAAAGGACAAGCACAAATTGCCTAGAGGCACTAGAGAATCTCCATCACTAAAGCACAGGAAAAGTAGGTATCTTACAGCAATGACACAGCTAGAGTTGATTACCCATTGAGAAAGGGAGTAGATCTCACAAAGCCTCTCCTGGTATATGTTCTCTTGTGTCTTTAGGCAGTCACCTACTGTGCTGCACTTCCAGCTCATGCTTTATATAGTTCCAGATGTAGCTAAAACTATGAGGAGGACTGCATTACAGTTTAACTCTGCATTGATTTTCCTGTGAAACAGTGAGGTTATACGAAAGGCCAGATTCTCAGACTACATAATTCAATTTAACTTCACTACCTTGAAAATAGATTAATTCAATGAAATTGGACTAAATTACACCAGATGGGAATCTCACTCCGAATTTATGCCACAGATCATATTTCATCCTCCTCTTTCAACTGACAAGGAACATCAGTCTTAGGTCATAGCCTTATCTTAGGTCAGACTCTTAATTCTCATGCAGTTAAGCTTCCATCTTCAAACAACAGAACTCAAGAAACTTCTGTTTGCCATCATGGAAATTCTTCAAAACAAATGCCCTCCATTTCTGTGGTCTCCAGTACCAGAACACATACTTGTCAATAATTGTGCCCAACCTGTTGCTTTCATCTTTGAAATATTCAACCACAATTGAGTATTGCTTTCCTCTGACACCTCCAGCTGAGACTCAGTGAAGAGCTTGCTTAAAAAAGAAACCCACAAAACAAACCAACAAACGGACTGTGACATGTCAAAAAGATGATGAGCTCGGAAATGCTGAAATGCTGCAAATACAGCACCAAACCCTCAGCTGTCATCTTTGACAAATTCTAGATTTCCCCAGTTTACCATGAAAAGAAACATGGCTGGGTATGAAGAACCCAGATTTTTCCCAGTTCTGCGATGCCCATGGCATTCAAAGCTCTATCACTGGTAACCACAAGAAAAGGAACATGTAGAAATCACTAAAACCACAGTGGCATAAATGAGGACTGTATGAGCCACTGAACACCAGTGTAAGAAAACCAGCAAAGTTGTTTATGAAAATTCTAGCCAAGACCTGTCAGAAAGGGAAACACATTGGTACTTTGGAAATTCCCATACTGCGTCACACTGCAGCTCTCCATACAAAGATATTCAAACTTTTAAATGCTTCTAGTAAAGTTACACCTATCACTGAATACTCCAAGCTTGCCCAAGCCACTGTTTATTGTGTGAAGTACATCTATGTTCACACAAGCCAGCGTCAGAGAAGCTAAATCCTGAAAACAGAAGTGCAGAGAAGCATACAGAAGAGACGTGCAAGCTGGCTAGCCAGGCTTAGCTTAGCAGTCTGGGGCAGTGCCAATGTTCACATCACATCTGGACTGATCCTGCACAAAACACATGGCTCTGGCGCCTCTGTACCACCCACCACTGCAGGGGATGATGTGCTACTTTCTAAGAGATGCCCAGCCAAAAAAATTAAACATTAGCTGACATAGGTATTAAATTTAATACCAGCCTGAAAAATAGGCTTGCCTGAATCACAGCATCTGATGCTTAGTCAGGTTTGCTGGCACAGTCCTGGTCTCAAAGGACTGGTCAGCAGAGATTGAACCCAGCTGTCTTCAAAATGTCAACTAAGTGTGATATTCACATACAACATGAACTGCTGCAATATAAACAAGCCCTAACATTACACATCTCTTAAAAGCAGTGTTGGACCAGTTACATACTTGTTTTATCTGAGCAGATGTCAGCATCTGCTTTAAGTAGAGAGAACTGAAACATTTGTGTTCCTTGCCTGTCTCCAGCCCCCACCCTACTCAAAAGCGAGGAAGAACACTGAGTGTCAGATTTTTCAGTGGCACTTTATACCAGAGCAGAAAGACAGATGTTCTGACAATTTTTCCCCCTGCTACACTCTGGGCAGCTAGTCTCTTTGCTAAGCTGTTCACCCTTACTACTAAAAATGGTTTGCATAACAGTACATTGCAGCCAAAGCAAGCACGGCAATCATTAAAAGAGTAGGTAGCTCACACATGTTTCTGTACTCAGCCAAGTCAACTACCGACGAATGGGTCATCTTTTGTCAAACAACTGTAAAGAACTGGTGAAGAAATAATTTGTGGTTCAGGAACACCATGCTGACAGGTAGGGCTTCTCTAGTCTTTTGTTTTCCTACAGCAGTGTGCTCTCTTAGCTGGTCTTCAACTATTCTCTCATCAGAGTAACAGAAAATAATGAACACGTCCTGGTCAGTTGCAAGGGCCAAGAAACTATGGAAATCTTTAGAAAGTACATGTACAGACAGTGAACCAGTCGTGAGTTAAATCCTTCAGACCAGGTTAGAAAGGGCCTTGAGCAACATGATCTAGTGGAAGCTGTCCCTGCCCATGGCAGGAGGGTTGGAACTGGATGATCTTATGGTCCTTTCCAACCTAAACCATTTTATTATTCTATGTATTTAACAACCCTATGATTCTATGTATTGAACAATTCAAATATAAGCAGAGAACGACAGTTCAACAGGGGATTAGGTCAGCGTCAGAAATTAAAACTATGCTACGGAATGTGGTAATTCTGAAAATATTGCAGACCATTTCTTAAAAGTCAGGATGCTTCCAAACATCACACCTCCCTTATCGGTCCTCCCACTGTCCTCAGCAACCTTTATTTTGCTCTGGTAAATTCAACACACTCAATTTCACCGTTTTCTTGCAGACAATCTTGCACACAGGGATGCTACTTTTTTGGGTTAAAAACAAAGCAAAAGAAAACACTCAAAACCCCAGACAAAACCAGAAAAAAAACCCACAAAACCCACAACAGTAATAACAACAAATCGAAAAAACAATCAACTTCTCTCTGTGCGAATGCTGTAAGCTTACAAAAATCTTGAGTCTTAGAAGTAGTTGTCACTTTGAGCTCTGGAGAAGACTGCAGTAAAAATCACTGCAAAAAGTTCTCAGACTAGGGCAGCTTCAAGAAGCCTCAGCTGGGTCCAGGTTGCATTTTACTGACTAATAAATGAAGAGCTGTAAGGGAGAAACCTTGCCAATAGACAAGGAGTGGCCATATCAGATGAAAATCACAGAATGGTTTGGGTTGGAAAGGACCTTAAGATCATCTAGTTCCAACCCCCCTGCCATAGACACCTCACACTAGACCATGTTGCCCAGGGCTTTGTACAACCTGGCCTTGAACACTGCCAGGGATGGAGCATTTACCACATCTTTGGGCAACCTATGCCAATGCCTCACCACCCTCACAGTAAAGAACTTCCTTGTATCTAACCTGAACTTCCCCTGTTTAAGCTTAAACCCATTACCCCTTGTCCTACCACTACAGTCCCTAATGAAGAGTCCCTCCCCAGCATCCTTGTAAGCCCCCTTCAGATACTGGAAGGCTGCTATGAGATCTCCACGCAGCCTTCTCTTCTCCAGGCTGAACAGCCTCAACTTTCTCAGCCTGTCTTCATACGGGAGGTGCTCCAGCCCCCTGATCATCCTCATGGCCCTTCTCAAGACTTGCTCCAACAGCTCCATGTCCTTTTTATGTTGAGGACACTAGAACTGCACACAGTACTCCAAGTGAGGCCTCACGAGAGCAGAGTAAAATGTCTCATATATGATACATTAGAAATCTGGTGCCAAATTCCCATCTCCATTCATAGTTTTAACACCAAAAAACCAAATGACACTCGTGGGAGATACATTCTCTGTCAGGAACTGCATGAAGATTATATAGCAGCCTATACAGAGCTCTCTTGCGGGCCTTAGTGCAAGATAGTATCTCTTGCAAGACAGTGCAAGATACCCTTACCGCCAAGGATAAGAAATAAGGTGTGATGCTCAGCCTTCCTCTAGATCTGTAAGACAGCAGAAGCTGCTCTTCAGCATTCTCTTATTTGGCACTTGAAATAATCTAGTCCTGGAAATATTACTCCAGTGCCTTTAGCACACAAGCATCTGCATTGCTGGAAGCATTTTGCTGAAAGTTGTAAACAGAGAGAAGTTTATGGAGATTTACAACCTAGACAAATGAGGAGGGATGTTCACAAAGAGATCAGGATATAATGAACACCAAAGCAAACGTGAAGTTTTATTCCTCAACCCCGATAAACACAGTATGTCACCTCCAAAGAAACACTTTTCGAACACTGGCAAATTCACGTCCTGTCCTCAAAGATGAAGGAAAACTCTGGTCCACCCTTACAGGAGTTATCAAAAAAAGCCTGAGCTAAAACAGGTTAACCAAAGCACTGCCCCAAGTGTTTCAAGTTTGGCACCATTAGAAGCTGAAGAGGAACTAATTATAAAAACTTAATAGATACCTCTAACTCTCATATAAGAATCACTGTAATCTCTCTTCACAGTTAATCAAGCATCCATAAACACAAAATGAACAAACTTGAGTTCTCTCTGCAGGTTTACTAGAACTTGCATTTTTCACCTCAAAACAGCCACACTGACATGCCACTCATGACCACAGGTGTGAAGGCTGCAGGATCAGGACACTAGACTTAATTTCTAGGTCCAGGAGGCATGTAACCTCCCTGAGGATCTACACGCCTGAGAAGATCCATAACCCTATGAGCCATATGTCATTAGAATGCAATTAAAAGAATTACTTGTCTCTTTTTAAAGTCCCGTTTCCAATAAGCGAACAACCTCATAAGCAATTCTGCTGGAGAAGAAGTAAAGATGTCTGTTGTTATACAGCTTCTTCCAGAGCTATATGACTGCTCAGGAGTTAATTACAGCTCACAAACTCTCCACACATTCCTTCGGATGCACATTTGCTTGAGGAGGAATAGGCTCTATGTATTGGCACAGAAGTACTTACTCTATCCCTGCCTACACTGTATCAGCTCACTAAACAGATTTAATTTGCTGTTTCCTCCAAAGGCATTTACCTTTGGAATTTTGGTTTTAACAATAGGAGTCTTGTAGATACACACACAAAAAATGACACCTCTTTAATGGTGTTAAGTCAGAAAAATGCCCTTTTTATGAACATCGTGCAGGGAAAATGTCCTTGAGTATCTCAGATATAAATTCAATTTATTGGCATTTTGTGTCTCATTTAATCTACAATGGAACAGTTAGTACTTAAAGGGTAGATACACTTCCCCTAGTCCCTTTCTTCCTGAGAAACTTTCAGATGCTGGAAATCAATTCCTTTTGTCTCCTTGTTTTTCATCTGCTACATATTAAGGAGAAACTCTGTGCATTCAGTGATCCCACAATGGTCTTTCATCTCCAGAGAAGCCTGGTATGAATTAAAATCTTGCGCTCCCTCAAATTATGGATGCATACTGCAGCATGCCACTGACTTATCTGCTTGTGATTTTTGCCAGTTTTCTCAGCATGCTGCAGCTAGCTCATCTGCATCTTTCGACTTCAATGACTCTTCTGCAACGCTGCCCATCCAGCCCATGAGGAGTGCTTCGACACAAAAATACACAAATGTATGTATGACCCACCCAACAGGTACCTCTATCTACTCTTTTTGCCATATCACTGCCATATAAAACTTAATTAAACAAGGGGTTTACTACATCCAAGATTTTAGTAAAAGAACAATAAATATTTCATTTCTTTCATTTCAATGGCCTTGAGAGATGAAGATTATACACAAATCACTTTTAACTGATGTTATTTTCTTTGTCATGTTTGGTTTTAATGGCAGTTTTAACTTAGGATATTAAATTTGGATGTAAAATTTAATTGCTATCTAGACTTCTGTAACACCAGTCAAACCCACACTGCTCTTTCACTCCCAGCTTCCAGGCAGTCATGCTGCTGGATGCCCCATACTGCAGCAATTCAAAGCTCCCAGTCTCAGGTCTGAAAGTAAATCAAGGTTTAACATACATATCCTTGGTTTACTCTTTGTTGCTCTTTCAGCCTATTTTTCCTTCTTCCAGAAGCTGTTTGTCCACTCCTCAAATCTGAAATATTCCCTGCAGTCAAAGCAACACATTCAAAACAAAGAAACACTTTCAAATCTACATTCACATTCTGTCCTACAGGAACCATCATTTGCTAATCGCTTCTACGTACAACACTTTGCCAGACAAACTTTTATCCACCTCGCTCTATAATCTCTTACATGAATCATTTCTTCATTTGAATTAGATTTCAGTGTGAAATATTTTTCCATGAAGCAATCTTGTTATCTGTTCAATGTAGATTTGAAGCAGTTTGAAGAGTTTTAAAATAAAGCGAGTGAACAGCTAAACTAGAACAGAAATGAATGCGTTATATGTAACACTCAACAGCGGTTAAAAGGCGAGAACACAGATCAAGTTCACTAGCTATTTTGGGCTCAGATTACAACGCAGACAAGAAAATTTGGAGCTCAGCATGTGCCTGCTCTATGTGTCCAAAACAACTGTGCAAACAGTTAATAGTGGGCACTGAACTCCAAAGGCGCACGAAGAGCCTGTGCCAGATTAAAGCTAGCTTGGACAGGTGATGCCTTACCTCGCTTGAATCCTCCTGCTGATTGATAACAGCTAGTGCATCCTCTGCAGCCTGGCGCTTGGCTTCAGCAACTGTGCGCTCCATCTTGGCTCTCTCGGAAGTGATCATGTCGTGAGCTTTCCGCTCTGCCTCCGACACTGCCTTCTGCAACTCGGCCATTGCCTGGCGCTTTACTTCATTGACAGCTTCCTCTGCAAAGGAGGGAACAAATCCTCATCAGCACAGGAGGTTTGGCACAGGGCTGCATAGGACTGGTGCATGAAATGCACTATACTGAGTCTTCATTTTTAGTAGGAAGACACAGAGGAACCTGGTTCCTCAAGACTCTTCAAGACCACCCAGGTGCTTCTTCCTGATCACCAAAGTCTGTAACACTTTGTGATGATTCTTGCTGTTTTGATTCACAGTCAGCACTTTAATCAGAGACACTTCAGATCTCTGGCGTGCTACTTTTGTGATATTTTTGAACGTTTACTTGGAAAATTGGTCTTGCAGCACACCAGATTTATGAATATGTTTGGCAAGAATTATTATATAAGACATAATATTACAGACTTTTTCAAAAAATATTTTTAAGCTCTGGAAATTAAGATAGAATTTATAGTCATTAACAATTCCCCCCCCCCCATGTTAACGAATAAATACATGAAGTTAAAAAACCCTCCAAAGTTATTTAAAAAATCAAAATCACTGGTCTAAGTCCTTTTCCTGGACATATAATTTTATGAGCCAAAATTAAAATTTGTTTATGAACATTCATTTGACCTCTTGATCTCTCCTTCAAACCCATGTTTACACTGTGAAGACTCGACTTCCTGGCTCCACTGAGCTCTTGAGCACACCCCAGCCAGCAAGGCTTCAGAGCACAATTAACACTGAGCAGGGGCATGCCGCTTCATTAAATTCAAACCTTCATGCTTCTCATAAAATAACTAACGCAGTAAGAGCTGTTTCTTTGGTGCATATACTAGTGTCATATCTTTATTCCGGAAAACATGGATTGTCACAAATTAGTTATTTAGGTTTTGATGCAGGAAGAGTGCAAAGATTTTACTAATGAACACTCTTAATTGACAAGTAAAACAAGTAATTTCTTTTTTTTTTTTAATTAACTGCTCTAATTAACAAGGAAACCATCCTCCCCCTGAATTAGTTTATCTAATTTTCATCTTTATTCAAAGCAAAATGACAATGATTAATTGAAAATTTAATAAGCAGTAATTATTAACTTGGCAAACCTAGTACCAATTAACACTCTATTAAAACTAATTATGACATGTTTCATTCAAGTGTTTGCACTTAATTGTTTCATCCACTTAAAAACCACCTTAATTAAATGTTCTGTTTAATTAAAAACATAGATTTCTAATAAAAATGTTTTACTGTAGATTAAAATCTAAGTATTACAACTGTGTTACAGGTTTGAGTTTTAGTCCATGTATTTAGCCCATGTATTGGTGCGCATGCACATAGACCTAACTTTTAGGTAAAAATACTAAGGCAGTAACTCTCTTCAGTCACATCTCTAGCTCTGCATTCATTATTTTTAAAAAGTAAGGATTACATGAAGTCTCCGTTTTCAGTTATTAAGCAAACGACAATAAAGACTTAACTTTAAGCCATGTACTGACTAAAACTGAATTAATTGCAATGAAAAAAGCATTTTATTACTCTCTGTGTGTTATGCGTGTGAGTGTCTGAGAGAGATGTTTCAAATGAAGATTTTTGGGGGTGTTTGTGGGTTTCTTGTGAATTTTTTTGGGGGTGGGGGTGGCACTTACTTAGAGATAAAACTTATGCTTTTATTTTTATGAGGCTCAAAATATGCCCTACCATAAATGTTGTTTAGGAGAAAGCCTCAGGAGAGGGAAAAATCATACCCTTCAACCATACAGCTAAGGCTTAATTTACTTTGAATATTCAAGGTGAATTAAAATTCTATCTAAGTGGCAATACAGGACAATAATTTTTGCTTACGATCAAAGCTGCAGCTAGACTAATTGTATATGCAAATCAGGCAATTTATATTTAAATTATGCATTCCTAGTCTAGTCCCACAGGCACACACAGATCAGCAAAAGGAATTGGTAGGACATTTGCAAGGTGCTTGAATATTTATTACCAACTGCAAACATTCACTGATCGTGAGAAAAGAAATATACACAAGCAGACATACAGATGCAATTTTATTACAATTTTCATAAAAATGAGGCAACTTAAATACAGACATTTTGTGTCTATGAACTGCAGTTACTAACAGTGGATTTCTTTGAGAGAACCTATATTCTTGATGATATTTACTACAGATAGAAATTATCTTTGTATGGCATGATGCACTTTCATTACATCATACAAATTTAGTTTTACACTGAGGTGTTTGCAGTGGTTAGAAATGCTAGTTTAAACTATTATATTAAATAGAAGCACAATACTTCACTATTTTTCAGAGATTCTTTTTCATCCTGCGTATTCTACTTCTTTTTAATCCAAATGTAGAAATTGAACCTTATATTCTAACTTCTATACTGCACGAGATTTTTTGCAAAGCTTCTGAGAGTGTGAAGATACTAAAAGTGCTTATGAGGCCATATGCCTGACTGATACTTTTTAATTGGCATAAACTATGGATTGGACTTTAGTATTCCAATTAACTTCGACAGAAATTTGTGTTGTGATTGATATACTAAGTGTGAAAAAAGTAGTTAAAATGTTAGGAGTTTTGTTCACTACACCACCATTATTCCAATATAGTATGAACTCATGAACACCCGATGAACTAGATAAAACCACTGATTTTCTGTAGATCTTCTCAAAATCAATGTTTCCACTACCTACAGAGATTTTATAGACATAGAATGCAGGCTTCATAGTTTTAGATAACAATAAAACCTCTAATATCTATATAGGAAAAGTTACGGGTGACAATGAATGGGTGAATGGGTGAACAATGCTGAGCTGTGAAGACCACGAATTATATCAGCACTCTTCCTTTCTCTCCATTTCCTGAGTTTCCTCATGACACAGAAAGAAGCTAAGGTAGCAGCCCACAGGGGTCTGGGACCCACTCAATATTGAATAAAGAGAAATAGGTATATCCAGAGAGCAAGTCTTTTAACCTATGATCTGACCAATCCTCTTAACACACCTCTTGTCTATTGAGCGGCACCGGACCTTTGGCTTGTACTCACGATCTACATATCCATAACTCAATGAGGTTAATCAGGGAACTGATGACTCCTTTCTACTGATGAATGAAACTGAATTGGGCTCACATGGCTTTAATTCACAAGGTGTACTATGTGCTTGCTCCAACAATAAAAAAGCAGGTACTTAACTTGCTGTATTTCAGGAATTGCACGGGAGTTTATCAGTCTCCAGAAGTTTAAAGTGAATCCCCTTTCGCATGCTTTTGATGTTGTTTATTAACCAGTTTTATGCCAAATTATTTCAGTTCAAAGGATTCAGCATCCCAATCAGACTTTATACTTGATTCAGATGTCTACACCTCTGTCTTTATGGACTTTTGAGACACCAAGATCCACGCTGAGCCAGCAGAAATTACTTATGAGAGATTTGCAGAATTCTTGACCAGCAGTTGCAGTCCAGCCAGGACACTATAAACCATGTCAAATGGCACTAGAGACCTATTCTTACAGAGCTGAATTGCACCTTTACTGCCTTGAACGGATTATGAAATTGTGGAGACCTCCAACGTCAGTGCACACCCCTGAAAATGAAGGCCCACGATTTACGAAATGCAGTGTGCCTTCTGATGTTTTACTACTCTAAGAGATACAGGCATGCATCCTGTAAAGAGTCAGGCTTCTTTCAGTCTCCAATTCAGAAGCAACTCTTACTGAGATTTCCTGGGTCTGTGGTGTTTTTTCTTTGCTGTACGAATATGGCAAAACAAACTATGAAAATACTTTTGGGCATTAAGAAGGCTACACTTCCCTTGGACAGAAGAAAAATATGTTGATTGTTTCGTTATTTTTCAAAGAAAGTGCAATAGTTCCAAAAATACTAACATGTTGACAAATTTAGACTTTACACGATAAACCCACATCATACAAAACCACAACTTCTTGTCTGATGCAATGACATGCCAGCAGAACATTTTTACATATATGTTCTGTATCTAGATTAAAATGCAACAAAAAGCTGCAAGCAGTTACAGGAGATTTGATGAGAAAGCATTAGAACTCCTGCATATTTGCCTTTTAATCATTAACTCCTGCTTCAATAGCTGCTGTAGATTTCATGATTATACAGGTGTTCAGAAGGGGGGTGTGTGTGTATAAGAGTATATATAGAAGCTCAACTACCTCACTGGAGCTCAAGAGCTAACTCCTGGCACCTCTGAAAACAAGGAAGCTCTGATACCAGTGTCAAAAGAGCAAAGGCTAACTCCAGCACCGCAATGGGGTCTTTGCCAGGAAACTCTTGTGCTCAGGCAGAGTTTTAGTGTTGAAGAAAACTGCACAACCACAACATCTGCCCATGGTGCTTTCCAAGCCTGGGGAAGTGACTGTCAATGCCAGCGCAACTGCCCAGAGCAGCTGCAGAGATGCAATCTTGCATACTTGCATTGAAAACTTTGCAGGTTTATGAGCACAGACTTCACTGGGGGCTGACAGGCACAAAATCTTTTTTAAATGAAGAATGGTTACACTGTACAGCTGAAGGTTTATGCTTAACAGGTTTTTCCCCCTCCTTTGGGAATTCTTACCTTCAACTAGGTAAGAACCTTGATGCTTAAAAAAAAAAAAAACAAAAACAAAAACCCACAAAAACTTTTTCTTTTAAATTACTAACAGACTGAAACTTTAGCAGATCAAGTTTCAGCCTGAAACCATTATAACCCCTGAAAATAGGGGTCCTTAATGGAAGTACCAACACCCCCCTAACTATAGCAGCAGATGCTTCTATTATAAAGATTATTTCATGTCCTGATCAGTTCCAGTTTAAGATTATTAAATGCGATTTCTTCTTGTTACCAGTACGCCCTTTTCTCCCCCCCTCCTTCCATTCCTCACATCAGTGCTTTAACAACTGCACACAGCTGCCAGAAGACTAAGCTGGTGTTTTTAAACAGTTCTTACCAGCTTTCTTCCAGATCTCCTCTGGCACATATCCAGACGCAGGCCTGTGAAGGAATTCCCGATGCGATTCTGCAGGAGGAGGGGGCGTGGAGGGAAAAAGAAAGAACATAGTAAGCAAGGCTTGTTCTTTGAGAACAAGGCTTAGAGAAATACCTTTTCCCTTTCTTTATTGCTCAGACAAAAAAACCCCACATTAATTTAGTTCTACTCAAAACAAACGGATGCTGTGGCCGTAGCTCATGAATGTCACATAGATAGATCAATGTTGAGGGCTCAAGTGCCTCGTCTTAAGCCAAGTTGAGGCTAGTTTGTTTTATTTTTATTTTACAGCATTTCAAGTCAACTCTATATGACAGTTTCCATGCTTTCAAGGCTGGCTTTGCGAGACCAACTCAGGGAGTGATGTGCTTCATCCTTTGTTATTATATTTATGAAAAGGATGAAGAAAGAGGGCAACAGTCTGGGTTTGGTGCTTCTGCTCTGTGAAAACAGAATGGCTACTGATGGGCAGAGATAAAAGCCAAGATGTCATTCCAGTGATCAAGTAAGTTGTGCACAGAAAGAGATGTTTCTCTATGTTCAGACCTACGCTTTCCTCCATCTGAGCCCATGGTCGCAACTGTAGCTGCACGAGTTTGAAAAACAGAACCTTTAACTTTAGGTTAAGCCCCTAAATACATATGCTGCCAAACAACCTCACTGGAGCTGAAGCTCGTAATTCACCCATATATTTCAATCACATTTTGACAGCTCTTTCCCCCTCCTCTTTTTTAAAAGGGTTTAACCTCTGGGCCTGAGTCTAAGAGCTCCGAAATCAGCAAGATCCCTTCCACACAGACTTCAAAGACACAAGATCAGACAATACAGAAAGAAAATTCACTTTGGCCTGAAATTTAGCATACAGATTCTCAGCAGATGAAAAGCTGCTCCTTTCAAATACAATTTAAAACCTGATTGATTTTTTCAAAGTCACTGAGAAGAAATAAAAAAAAATAAAAAAAAACCAAACCAAAACCAAACCAAAAAACAACCAACCGAGAAACACGTAAAGGTAAGCTCATTGCCATGATTTCTGCTGCCTGTGTGACAGAATTCAATTGTTAAAATACTTGATTATTACATTAGAGATAAGGTTTAAATCTTCTTAGAGATGTTGCTAGAAATTAAACATCCTGTTTGATGTCTGAGTTTGAAACATAACAAAAGTACACTTTATTCTTTGAATAAGAATTTTCACTAAATATATTTGGGTTTGCACCCTACAGTTATCATTCACTAACTTGGTCAAAAAGTAGTACTTTTAAGAAAATGTTTGAATCATTAGGTTTTACAAATTGTTGTTTACATCAGCATACATATGCATGCAATATTATTTATGTACAATTGGCTACTCTGTTGTTTCTTCATGGCAAGGTTTTGGTAGCAGAGGGGCTACAGGGGTGGCTTCTGTGAGAAGTTGCCAGAAGCTTCCCCCACGTCCAACAGAGCCAATGCAGCTGGCTCCAAGACGCCCTCACTGCTGGCCAATGCTGAGCCCATCAGTGATGGTGGTAGCGCCTCTGAGATAAACACAGATAAGAATGGGGAAAAGGTTACAGTACAGGAGCAACAACAGCCAGAGAGAGGAGTGAGAATATGTGGGAGAAACAGCCCTGCAGACCCCAAGGTCAGTGAAGAAATAGGTGAAGAGGTGCTTTAGGCACTGTAGCAGAGATTCCCCTGCAGCCTGTGGAGAACCCCAGGCCAGAGCAACGGGATGCCCGAAGGAGGCTGTGATCCCATGGGAAGCTCACGCTGGAGCAGAGTCCTGGCAGAACCTGTGGTCCTGTGGAGAGAGGAACCCCCGCTGGAGCTGGTTTGCTGGCAGAACTTGAGATGCCATGGGGGACCCATGCTGGAGCAGTTCATGAAGAACTGCAGCCCATGGGAAGGACCCATGCTGGAGAAGTTCATGGAGGACTGTCTCCATGCTGAAGCAGAGGAAGAGTGTGAGGCGTCCTCCCCTGAGGAGGAAGGAGTGGCAGAGACACCGTGTGATGAACTGACTTCAGTCCCCATTCCCTGTCCCCCCGTACCACTATGGGGGAGGAGGCAGAGAAATTCAGGAGTGAAGTTGAGCTCAGGAAGAAGGGAGAGATGGGCTTTGGTGGGCACCTGGCATCCAGACAGAGTCAACCTACCACTGCTACAGACACTTAAACATATTTAAGAGATGACACTTAGTATTGGAGACACCTATCAAAGGTGGAAATGACGGGGGCTGTTTCAGCTACGTGGAGAGTAGGGAATCCCAATCCCTGTGCACTGTTCCACAGATGTGGTTTCTAGCATGTGAATCTGCAGACACTGACTGGGTGGACTGAATCTTGCCATCTGACAGGCAGCTGAGTGGATTTCCCCAGCTCTTCTGTTTGTCACTAACGTATGGGATGAAAATTAACATGGATTTTTGTAGGCAGAATTTCACACCTCTCAAGCATAAAATGATGAGGGTGTGTGTGTAAGATTCTGTAAAACAGCTATTTGCATTGGTTTAATCAACTTCATAGAGGACTTCAGACCTGATGCTGAAAATGGAAAAATTCTCAATACCACTTGGCTCGTATGATTCTGGAGACAACAAATATCCTTGCCTAACCTTTTCTCATCCCTTGGAGGCTTTTAGACTTGCGGGCACAGTGCTGGTTCAGTCAGGGATAGAGGCAGAAGCACCAAACGTTGCTCAAAAGCTCAAGAAAACTAAAGCAGAAAAATTAAAACACTTGTAAAACTTGCTCTCCCCACAATACCTGCAGGAAAAGAGCCAACCAGACCTCAAATGCAGAAAAACAAGAGGTTTGTTGCATTCATGTCTTGTATCTTGTGCTGACTTTTCCTGTCCGCTATTTAAGGTACCATCCACTGCAAGGGGATCATAACCTTGATTTAAGACCTTTGCTGTGGCACTTAGTGTTAAAAACAAAAGAGATGTGGAGTTAATTTTTTGGTACACATGGCTTTCCAAAAATGGAATTCAATGACATAAATGACCAGATTGCCAGCTAATTGTTAAAATTTCCAAAACATAAACATCAATCAAGCTCTTATTCCAACCACAAATTATTTACATGAGGAATGAGATCCTCTGCAAGAAGAATTAAATCAAGAGCTTGTGAGAGTCTTTCCCATAGTTTGGAATGGTGCACAAAAAAAAAAAAGACAAGAAGCACTTATGAAGATAATAAAAACCATATTTTTCTAAGCAAGAAAAATATTATTAACATGGCTATTGTTTAGTCAATGCTGATGAGTCCATGAAAACAATCTTCTTTCTGGGGCTAAACTACAGGACATGACCAGAGGATGAAAGTCTTACATTACTATTAGTTTTTAAGGTAAGATGGCCTTCAGATTAAGAATCACAGAACTTGCTCACTAAAACTAAACCACAAAAAATCTTAACTTGGACGCCTAGCAAACCAAAACTAAATGTAACATTAATTGAGTGAAGTCTCTGAAATACAAAATGTTAAACCAACTGCAAGAAGCCACAATGAGGAAAATGTATTATATTAACTGACTGTAGCGCCTAGAAATCAAAGTAAATTCTGCCTGGAAGGAAACAAATTGAAATCAGACAAAAGTAGGAATAATCTGAAATGACAAGGCAGCTCATATAGAAAAGGATATTGAAAAAGGCTTTACATGTCAGACATAATACAAAGGTTTGCTAATGGTGAGAATGCAAGAATGTTATTATACAGAACAATGGGATGTGCACTACTGAATTGACTTGAAATTCATGGCAAGGCATGGTTTGAAAGCACTTGTTGATAATCAAGTCTGGTTCCTACTGAACCAGATGAAAAAGCTCAACAAGGAAAATAAAAGGCACATATACATGACAGTAACCAGTACTCGTCTGTGAAGAACTTAAATGAAGTAAAAATAAAACAGATTTTGAAATCAAAACTGTTTTGGAATTTTCTATTTTAATGTGAAACAAACTTTTCAGCAAGTTGTCGGACTGGAACACAAGAATACACATGAGGAAAAAGCACGAAAATTGGTCTATGTTTCAGCCCTCACATGCTATTGAACAGCAGGGAATAACATAATGTATTATTTTTAAAATATTTAGAAAAAGTACTATTTTAGCCCATCCTAGATATTTTTTTAAATAAGAAAGAAAACAGACACCAAAAGAAAAATCCTATTGTCAAAATATGCTGCTGGGTTTTACCTGGGCCCTGGTGTATTTATTTCAAGAACACATTCAACCATAAGGATCATCAATAGTTAATTGATCAATTAAACTGCAGGTTTCTGGAGTCTAATGAGTAGAAATATCTTGTAGACTGCTTAAGAGAATAGGTGCTGAAAGTACTGAAGGAGGTGTGGAGAGTTGTAAGAGAAGAAATAAATATGGATCTGGGAAGTGAAACCGAGACAAAAATCTAGGACCAAATAAAGGATATGAACTCTCACAAGATAATAAGGACTGAAGAAAACAGAATAGAAAGACTTAAAAGGAAAAACTGTGTTCAAAACTGTCAAAAAGCCTAATCCATATTTGGAAAGAAGGAACAGAAGATGGGTTGACAATACAAAAGAACGGAGGTTTTTATCACTGAACAATGACATCCAAGCCTATAATAACTAAATATTAAGAAATAGATGATGAGCAGCTGATCTTTTGAGGATCTTTTAGAATTTATTGTATTTATGAAAATACTGGCAGTGACAACAATACCCTACATGCCATAGTGAACACTAGGGCTCAAAAATAATAAAAGCTGCACATAAGCAGCCTTGAACTACAGATGATTTCATATATTAAATATATGCTATCCTATGTATTTCATATATGAAATACATATGCTTTCTTATGCATTTATATACTTTCATATGCAGGTTTTGCTTCCTTCTACCCTGTAAAAAATGTAACAATATTAATGGGACACAGACAACAAACAAGAAATTTCTCAGAGCAATAAACATCAAACATTCACTGCCTTGTTTGTAAAAGTCAAGCTCAGAAGTGTGCCACTCCAACTAATGAGACAGATATACGTGTGTATACATATTTATATACACACACATAAAAGATACAAATGTCAAGGAGCATAATACTGAATGAGACTATCTTGCTAACCTTGTTGGGGGCATGAGTTTCAAGTATTTTTAGTCATCTTTGCCCTTCTTTGTCCTCTAATACCTTTTCGTGGCTGCTACAACACACTGAACACATGGCAAATTATATTAAAAATATAGTTGTGTTCTCATTTAAAAAGAATGAGAAAAGGAAAACTACACAGGTACTGCATTACTGAATCATCCTCAACCAAGAACAAATCAAAACCAAATACAGAGAATACAAACACACAATGTTTCTACAGCTTTAGCTCTAACTAACAGCATGCAATTCAGTACACCACAATCGAGCCCAAACCTCCCATGCAGCAAGTGGATTAAGAACAGTACTTAATATCATCAGTGACCAGTATTACAGAGGCCTTATATTCTTGAATTACAAGTTATAAATGTTACTGTGGTATTCACAGCATTCCCATTAGCTCATGTTGAGAATATCATGCATATCACAGCAATGTTAATTATCTGTAAAAGGTAAAGGTAAGATTTTATAATCGCAGCATGACTAGACATGTATTGGCAAGAATGCCATGGCTAATACTAAACACTAAAGTATGAGGGTGGACAACTTTGATAAAATATAAACAACCTCTGAAAGGGTTTAAAATATATTCAGAAATGGCTAAGCTATATGTTTTTGACAAATTCATACACTTCTGAGAATCCTGGCTTCCTAGGGAAAATCCTGCAGGTATTGGCACTCTTCAGTTGGAGATTTCAAACTCTATTTTGTTAGATTTTTGTTCAAACCAGTTCAACAGACACAAAATGTCAGCATCACTGCAGACCTTCTGATGTGTGCCTATACCACTTATCTAGAGCCACAGCTGCACTCAATATGGTTATAGATCTTGTTTATAACCCATGATGTTGAAGAACCCTCATCTTTAATTTATCTGACTGTGTGTATTTCAGTATACAATGTCTGATATGTGTAATTATTCACTATTAGGATGAAAGTTGCAGTCCTGCTGCAGTATGTAGTACTAAAATTCTTCAGCAGAAATGGAGGAGCCAGATGATGTATTATTCACATCACAGACCATCATAGTTCATCAAGTGAATATATATAAAGTCTGAGTCATTTTTTAGACTTTCATAAACATATATTATTCAGACTGAAAAGAATGGACCCATCTTACTTTCAACACACTCTTGGAGAATAATGAGAGCTTGTAACCTGTTGTAGCTGGCTAATGTGTGTATTGGATTACATGGCATTAAAACGAATGATCAAATATTTAATTTGATTTCTTAATTAAAAATACCAAGAGAAAAATATCGGTCAGATACTGCAAACTGTTAAGATCAACATGATTTGCAAGGATGTTAAATTAAAAGAACCACAAAAATCTTTGGCAGATGACAACCAGAATTTTCTTCAATTTCCTTTGGACTCAAACTATCTATGCTGAATTTCAGCTCAGATTTTTTTCAGTGAGAGCTATCTATGAAGACCATGGTGTGATGTTTATAGTGAGAACTTATCACTTTCGTGATGATATTTTAATTGTAAAGAAAAAGAAACAAAGGCACAGACACCGTAGCCATATGGCCCTTTTTTTTTTTCCCTCTTGCTAGTGAAGATGACAAGATGGATTTAAAGAGTGGATTACCTTGTTTAAAAAAAAGTACAAAAGGGAATCACTGACATTTAGAAACCCTGCAGCAAAAAACCACAATATTTACATGTTGTGGCACTTTAATTAAAATATTGGAGGAATTTTTCAACCCCCTCCTTCTCACTTCAAAACTAAAACAAAAATCCCTAAATAGAACAGTGTCTCAAGGCTCACAGACACTGCTTCAATTTTATTATACCTCTGAATGTTAGGAGTTTCCATTTTGTTAACTAGATTACTACCTGGTTCAAGGAAATTTAAGGACTACCTCTCCATAGACTCTGAAGTAAGTATTTTCCACCTGACATGTCAAGACGTAAAAGCACTTTTTATTGATATTTACAACTGAGACGGATGCCACATCACTGAAGCAATCCAAGCTTCATGGCCATGAGTCTCAGAACCAGTTTTTACAGCCAAATAACCAAAATGGACATGTTAAATTTGGAATGGACTCACTCCAACCATAGTACTGCAGAGGTGACTGGTGTGTCCGATGCTGAAGGCTGGGCCATGTAATGTCTTTTTAAGCAAACAGACTTTGCTGTTTCCAAGAATTCATTTTGACAAATATACAAACAAAACAGTAATAGAGGGACATAAGTGTACATTTGATCTTCATTTTATCTTTTGCTGCTGCTGTTGTTGTAGTTATGACTATTTTTCTTGGACTGTACTATTATTTATAAAGTTTTGATTAATGTCTTGAGTTCCATTTTGTTAAAAAATGGTAAAAACTCAGTTTCCTTTCATTTTTTTAATGTACTAACTATACTTACAAGCACCGTGGCCTAGCTCTTTTTGCATCCTAGCTTTACGAGAGAAGGGTACCACTGCTTTTGCTCTAGGGGCTTCCTAACAAGTGTTCTTCCCGAAGCTGCAGATGTGATCAGCATTTCAGATGCCATATTCATGAGTCTTTCTTTACATTACATTTAACACTATTCGTATAAGCCATTACCTGAATGCTTCTTTCTGAGAAGGGCTCCTCTAGGGATTAGACTTATTAGTGAACTTGGGAACAGCATTTCTACAACCCTTCCTTTCACTGACTGAAGGTAATTTATAGAGCTATTCGCTCAGATCATTTGACACACACACACACAAAAAAAAGGTTTGGTTGTTATCAAGAGGCACTAAATATTACAATAATACTCTAGAGATTTACCAAGAGGAGGTTAGAGAGGGCATTAGATTTGTTTTTCTGTATTTCTATTTGCACTTAAGTGAGTTTTAGATTTAATGTTATTCTTAAGGGCAAAAGGAAAACACAGCTTTAAATAAAGCTGTATAGTTGCAAAAGAGCACACATAAGCAATTCAACTAATGACCACAGTTTATGGTGATTTTGAGCAGATGGCATTCAATATGGACACTTTTTTGTTTTTTAAGATAAATATTAGACAAGCAATCCATTTGCTGTTTTCCTCAGAAGAGCAGAGAACAATAAAAGGGCAACATTAAGATGTGTTTCTTTACCACATCTGCCATAAAAATGAGGGGATGAGGTAGAAGGCAGCCATCATATTAATAAATTACAGAAAGCCTACAAAATAAAAGCTTGGGTTTATGCAACAGAGTCGTCTTGGAGTAGTTGTGTGAGTTATTGTGTGAGTGTTACTGTGAAGGTCTGCAGGGGATAAAGTCCGTCTTCTTGGTCTGCTCCTTTGCCGCTCCAGCTGAGCTCTGAGTGTCTCGGTGTAACTATACATTGAGCACTACCCAAACTAGCTCAGACACACCTGCATGAGCTGTAGTGGTGGACACAGACCTAGGAGGATCATGTGGGCATTCCAGGTGTTGTTCCTTTCTTACGTGGGAACCAAGTACAGCACGGAAGTGTCAAATACAGCTAAGAAGTGACCGTATCTTTATATCTCCATTTCCTTAGAAAGATAACTTCCAAGTTAAGTCACCTGATTCAAGAAGGTGAAAGCCCTTTGTTTTGCAGTGCTAACAATCCAGAAGCACCTACAGATTTCCTTAATCAAGCAGGCAAGGGAGGGAGATAGGAGGAACAGAGGGTCAGTGCATATCTCACTGCTCTGCCATCCCTGTGTGACAGTTTGTCCTCCCGCCCCACCACTCTCAGACATTGCTGAATAGAAAACAAATTACAAAGCATCATCCAACCCCCCAAGCTATTCCACAGATAAACATGACTATTAGGGCATACCAGTTCTAATTCATTCAGTAGCCGGCAGAGAGGAATATTTCATGGCTATCTTGCAAGAAGAATCAGAAGAACAAATACGAACTTCATCTAGCACTTAGCTGAGGTGAAGAGAACCAGTAAACAATTTTTAAGGAGGATACTGTACCTAATGTAACTGGATCTGGATTCACTGGACTCTGCTGTCTGGAATGACTACTGCTGCTGTTACCGCCTTTTTTTAAATCTTCTGCATCACTGTACCGCCGTATCCAGTAATTGAGCTCCTCACGGTCTGCTTCCTGACATCGCCGTAGTACAGTGAGAGATCGCCTAGTTTTTTCCACCATGTCCATTATACAGTTTAACAGCTATTCACAGCAGAGTTTGGAATGGTGCACCAAAAAAAAAAAAACAAAACAAACAAACAAAAAAAAAAACAAACAAAAAAAAGAGATCATTTTATTCATAATATCATAGGGAAATAAAGGAAACTAATGTGCTGAGTGCCTGGGGTTTAATAACGAAGGAGTGTCCCCTTGTGATCGCAAATACATCTGAAAAATTTCAGTCTTGCTTTAAGAATGGCAATCCCTTGGTGATCCTAAACTGTACAGGTATGGATTTCTGGGGGAAAGGGCAAAGACAGGGAGGAAAAGACTAAACAGATTGTAGTCCCACCACTAGTATCACATGGCATCACAGAGGCCAGGAGATCTGGTCCCAAACTGATGCCAGAACTAATAAATTCAAAGAACAAATCCAACGTGCTACAGATCCAGGTCTCATAGAGCAGAATCTGTTCCCTACTTGGCAGCCTGTAATAATTAGAATACTGCAGGAAGCACTTAACAGCAAGGCCTGGTATGAGCCAAGTAATGGGGAACAGCAAGACCTCTGATCTAGTCACCAACATTTTCAAAACACATACTAGAATTCAGATTTGTTACAAAAGAAAAATTTTAAATTCCTTTCTTAGAAGTACTCCTTTCAGACAATTATACATAAAAGTATTCTATGATTCTATAAAGTACATTCAGCCCTTACATGGTCAAGGTGTTTCCACTCTTCTGCCCATTCTCTGTCTGTTAGCCTGTGATCAATCATTTCTTCTTGACGTGTGCCATGCAACCCTGCCAAAAAGGAGCAAATCATGTTTACAATGTTGGGAGTCCTCTAGGGAGGAAGAAAAAGAGAAAAAAGAGCCTATCAGACAGACATATCGTATATTACCCAGTCTAGTATCAGGAATGCCACCACAAAAATAAATGGATGCTTAAAAACTTTGCTCTGAATTCTTTTTAGCACTTTTCCCAACACAAGATGCTACTGTTTTACTCAATTTAATGTGTTCAATTCTGCAGGCTCTGTAGGTTGCAAAATGACCTTTCAAAAATGGACATATGCCTTTTTGACCATATACTATTTAAATATATATAACATAAAATACAACATGTAATTTTTCATTTGCACTACTTGAAGTCAGCAAGACAATTATTTGGTATCTCGGCATACCGAATATTAGCTGTACTTCAGAGTTGAAAAATATTAGTATAAACTCTGTGTTATGTCACTAAATGCAGTAATTACTTCCATGTCAACAGAGCATCATTAAGGGTTCATCCCTTCACAGATGTTTAAACAACATGTGGTTAAAATGTAGCACATCTATCAGAACAGCTGACAACATGATACAACTAAGCCAGTATTTATTATCAACACTCAAGAGGAACCGACACTTGTTCTTTGTTTAGCCTCCTATATACAGATGCTGAGTATTTGTAAATGTTCTTCTTATATTGAAGATTTGTTTAAAACAAAGAAGAATAGTAAGTGCAGATGCTAAGCAAGCCAGGCAAATCCAAGAGCATCAGACATCCCATTAAACCAAGATGTGTTGCTGTGTGTAGCTGGAGCTTCTGCCGTTTGCATCCTCTGCAGACACGCCCATGTTGCACCGCACTCTTGAGATGTCACACACAAAACACTTTCTAAAGGCTAGTAACCTTCCTCTAGTCTAAGGTGAAATCAAGCTACACTGATGTTGTTATTGTCACAAATCTGGCATTAGAAGAAAAATAAAAGGCTTTACCTATCCTTGCCTGTCAGACACCTGAGTGTCCATGTCACCTACCCAGCTGTGAAAGCAGAGTTCCTCCTCCTTCTGACTGTCTTGCTCTAGAGTGTAGCAAAGACACTATTTAATTTACTTTTACAAATATAAGTTTGAAATAAGGCCATTAGAAGCAGCTAGATGGACAAACAGCTATAAAGGCTACATCTGAATGGCAGGTACTATTTAATGAGGAAAAAGAAAAAAAAAAAGCTCTCTGTCCAAAATATGGAATATGATTGCAAGAAAAAAAGAAACCTAAAAAAAAACCCCAGTGAAGAAAATCAACATGCCTTACCCATAGGTCTGTTTCTGTCCCTGAGGTCCCTGTGGTTGGGGTGTCTGTATGAGTCCCTGTAGTGGTGGGCAATGGCCATATCATCCAAACGATAATGCTGAGGTGGAGGTGGGGTGGGATGAGGCAGACCATTGGGCTGATAAGATAAGCCATTATTTGGACTGTACCGCTGGCCTGGGCTAATAGTGCAGGGCCGCTTGCTTGGATGCTCTGAGTGCAAAGGCTCTCTGTCAAAGCCATTTTCTTTGGTTCTGAAAAACAAAGCAAAGGAATGTTAATTCACTTCATGAGCAGAGCTGCTCAGCAGCATGCACCTCTACCTACATAAGCAGCTTCAGGAACTAAAGCTTGTTCTTCCACTTTGCTCCGTGTGTGTGTGTTGCAGAACATTTCATACTGCTGCTCATTCGAAGTATACACAGGACACATTCACCTTCTCTAACTATCCCTTTAATGTGAGAAATACTCGTAGGGTGAGCCTTCCAGGCTTGAAGAGCTGGGCTGGAGGGCAAGCAGCCTTCATGGAAATCACCAGCCAATGGGATGGATACACACATATTTGAAGAGCTGAAACAATCAACTGAAGCACAAAGCTAGAGGCTGAGAAATCTCTGCTTTCGATAGTCCTATAGTATATAGGGGTAATGTGCAGTTAAAGGTAAGGGGTTTTTTCAATAGGATTAGCATACGGTCTTAAAGTAGTTTCAGCGTGCTGAAGCTCAGCTATATGCAGTGCAGGATGAGCTCCCATAAAGATCCATGTCATACCAAGACTTAAGGTAAGAATGACTGTAGATAATGAGAAATGCTTCCTTCAGAGATTTTTGTACCATCGTGGTTATTTCAGTCAAAGGTGCTGTGACTGTCATTAATTTTGCAGGAAGATGTGGTTAGACTCAAGCCCTCAATAACGTTCAAGATTTCCTACTCCATTACGCTTAGACAGGGGTTTAACACTCAGGCAACTCTGAAGAGCTATCAGGGAGAAGGGCAGTTTCTTTACATTATTGGTACTTGTTAATACAATTCATAATCATCTATTTTGAAAGAAGTCTCTACTCTGCACCTCTGCCTGAGAACCTGCAATTCACACTAAACTCATTTTCCATTAAAATAAGATAGGTTAGAGTTACTTCAACGGGTTCACAACTCCTTTTAGGGAAGCTTCATTTCACTAAATTATGGGGTTTTTTCATCACTGGAATAAACTAAACCTACAAAATATTGCTTTTAACAGAAATGTTATTAGATATAAATATTTCAAACTTTTAAAGTTGCATCCCTCCCTACAAAAACCTTTATTAAACAGCTGACATATTCTAGCCTTTTTTAAAGATAACTTTCTCCTCCGCGATTTATGGAAGGCGTAATACATCTTCCTAGTCATAACACAATTTTTTGCCACTTTTCTTGTTTGCCTGCTGTCAAAACCAACTGCCCTTCAACAAACCCTCCCCCACAAAACAACCAGCCTTGAGGGTTGGTTTGTGGAGAAACACGCAATGTATTAATTGTTGCCCCTCAGTAGGTTCTTCTTGAATGTCAGTGAGAGGAAGGATAAAACCAAATCTTTGCCAATATCCACCAGGAAAGAGGTTCGAAGTGAGATCTTGCAATTAACATCACGAAATTAAAAGATGTTTTCAGAAGGAATAAAGAGAGTTTCCAGGGATCTCACCACAATCACTAATGCTACAGAAGCTGCAGGTATGTATATTTTCTTATACCTTAACTTGGCAAAGAGGAGAGAATCTTTCACTAATAAAGCAGGACAGCTGTTCTAATTTTGGGCAGAGACATAAAAGACATACTTTTAAAGTATGTACCTTATTCCAAAGCAAATGCAGGATGGCTGTGAAAACTCCTAATCAGGAAAAGCTGAGGACTATCATAGATTTTTAATGACTTTTGGCACAATGGAACTGCTTGCAATAACTCCCAATGGCTAGTGATGTTTTTGATGGCTCTCCAAGACAAGTTTTGCATTTAGTTGCTGGTGTTTTCTTTGCACATATCTACTCAAAGTCAATGTCCAGATCTTTCAATTGCAAAATATTATACAAGTAAAAAAAAACCATTTTCCTTTATGTACAAGCCAACCTATCCATTTGCCAAAGTTCTTTAGTTTTACAATTAGAATGATCTCTAAGATGCGGAG